AACGAAGACCCACCTAGCGTCTGAATGCCCTTGTTGCAGCAGTCCTTGCTCTGAAGGCCGTTCACCAGCTTCGCCACCTCATTGCCCTCGTCGCCAGAGTTGTCACGCAGGTGGCGGCCAGAGTCAACTGAGAGGGTACCTTGGGCTTCGCTGTGCTACAATCAACACCCACCTAGCGTCTGGATGCCCTTGTTCCGCCTGTCCTTGCTCTGCAGGTCGTTCACCAGCTTGGCCACCGCATTGCCCACATCCCCAAAGTTGTCGTTCATGTGGCGCCGGAAAAACTCGTCCTCCCCTGCTGCCAGCACCACCTCCCTCTGGTCTGGGCTTATGTTTGGCACGTGGCTCAGGTCCACCTTGTTGTCCTTGATGCCGATCAACTCGTGCACCATGGCCTAGGGACAGGGGAGCGGGCCAAAGGAAGGCGGAAGAGGAGGACGGGAAGGGTTAAACACATGCGGCGCCAGTTAAGCTAGTCCTCCCCTGCTGCCAGCACCACCTCCCTCTGGTCCGCACTGATGTTTGGCACGTGGCTCAGGTCCACCTCATTGTCCGTGATGCCTATCAGCTCGTGCACCATGGCCTAGAGGGAGGTGGGAGGGCAGTGGGGAGCAGAGGGAATGAGAGGGTTCTGTTGCTTCACCTGGCTACGTGGCTCAGGTCCACCTTGTTGTCCTTGATGCCGATCAGCTCGTGCACCATGGCCTGGTGGGAGGGGAGGGGGGGGGGGAGAGTGGGGGGACAAGGGGATGGCATGGGTGAGACGAAGAGGGTAGGCTGGTTTCTCAGGCCATGCTGCCAGGTGGCTTCTCAGGCCATGCTGCCAGGTGGTTTCTCAGGCCATGCTGCCAGGTGGTTTCTCCGGCCATGCTGCCAGGTGGTTTCTCAGGCCATGCTGCCAGGTGGTTTCTCAGGCCATGCTGCCAGGTGGTTTCTCCGGCCATGCTGCCAGGTGGTTTCTCCGGCCATGCTGCCAGGTGGTTTCTCAGGCCATGCTGCCAGGTGGTTTCTCAGGCCATGCTGCCAGGTGGTTTCTCAGGCCATGCTGCCAGGTGGTTTCTCAGGCCATGCTGCCAGGTGGTTTCTCAGGCCATGCTGCCAGGTGGTTTCTCAGGCCATGCTGCCAGGTGGTTTCTCAGGCCATGCTGCCAGGTGGTTTCTCCGGCCATGCTGCCAGGTGGTTTCTCAGGCCATGCTGCCAGGTGGTTTCTCAGGCCATGCTGCCAGGTGGTTTCTCAGGCCATGCTGCCAGGTGGTTTCTCAGGCCATGCTGCCAGGTGGTTTCTCAGGCCATGCTGCCAGGTGGTTTCTCCGGCCATGCTGCCAGGTGGTTTCTCCGGCCATGCTGCCAGGTGGTTTCTCAGGCCATGCTGCCAGGTGGTTTCTCAGGCCATGCTGCCAGGTGGTTTCTCAGGCCATGCTGCCAGGTGGTTTCTCAGGCCATGCTGCCAGGTGGTTTCTCAGGCCATGCTGCCAGGTGGTTTCTCCGGCCATGCTGCCAGGTGGTTTCTCCGGCCATGCTGCCAGGTGGTTTCTCAGGCCATGCTGCCAGGTGATTTCTCTATCAACTCATAGTTAACCGCTGGGCATACCTGGTACGTCCACTGGTTACGTAACGGGGTAACCGGGTCGTCTCTTCTTCCCACTACCAGCAGCAGAGGCAGTGTGTTTGTGAAGTCAAGCCGAGTCAACTTGTAGTGCACATGCGAAGCATTGCATCCCTGGTACGTCCACTGAGGGAGTAACGGAATACCTGGTTACTCAAGTGGTAGTCAAATGCTAAGCATACCTGATACGTCCATTGCATGAGTAACGGGGTAACCGGGTCGTCCCTTCTGTCCACCACCAGCAGCAGAGGCAGGGCGTCCGTGCGCCTGAAGTCAAACAGGGGCTTCTCTGCCTCGTACATGATGCGCTGGGAGGACGACAGTGCACACACAGGGGACGGACGGGGGAGGATACGGGGTGCAGGGGGGGGTAGGGGGTGCAGGGGGGAGTAGGGGGTGCAGGGGGGAGTAGGGGGTGCAGGGGGGAGTAGGGGGTGCAGGGGGGGAGGTAGGAAAGGGGGGAGGGAGGGGAAAGGAAAGAGGGGTGTAGGGGGGGGGGGGGGGGGACGAGGGGGGAGGAAAGGGGGTGTAGGGGGGTGTAGAGGGGTGTAGAGGGGGGAGGAGAGGGGGGACGGAAGGGGGAGGAAAGGGAGGCGTAGGGAGGGGAATGCACTAAGGGAGGAGTAAGGGCAGCAGCAGAGGCAGGGCGTGTGTGCGCCTGAAATTCAAGAGAGGTTTCTCGGCCCTGGTACATGATGCGCTGGGGGCGGTGGGGGGAGAAGACTTTTGATTCGACTCAAAAGTCACCAAGAGAGGTTTCTTGGCCTTGGTACATGATGCGCTGTGGGCGGTGGGGGGAGAAGGGGGCGTGCGTCAGAGGGGGAACGCACGTGCAGGGACAGAGGGCACATGAGTTCTGAAGGGACAGCGCGGAAAAGACTCGAATGAATAGTAGTAGCGCGCCAACTCTTTCAAACACACGAATAGACGGGCGCTTATTGAGGCTGAGGCACAGTGCCAGGAGAGCGTCCACTGAGCGCTCTGCCACACAGACGAACGAAGACTCTACCTTCTCTCTCCTTCACTCACCCCTGTTTCATGCGCCACCCTCCTCGCCAGCTCAGACCCTCGTTGAAACCGAATAGTCGGGCGCTTCTTGAGGCTCAGGCAGAGCGCCAGGAGAGCATCCACTGAGCGCTCGGCCACCCTCTGCGTGTTGTTGAGGTCGACTGTAGCGGAGACGTAGGAGTAGACGTTGAGGGGTACGTGTAGGGTGAAGTGAAAGGCGTCCAGCGCATAGAAATCCGCGTAGTACTCCTGAGAGGAAGATGGGGGGTCAGGTCGGGAAGGGGGGGGGGAGGGGGCAGAGAGGGAGGTGAAGTACTGGCATTGGTTGACTCACTGGATTGCACTTCGGCTTCCCTCCTGCACTTGCCCCCCCTCTGCTTCTCACTCACCTGCACTTGCCCCCCTCTGCTTCTCACTCATCTGAAATTGCCCCCCTCTGCTTCTCGCTCACCTGCACTTGCCCCCCTCTGCTTCTCGCTCACCTGCACTTGCCCCCCTCTGCTTCTCGCTCACCTGCACTTGCCCCCCTCTGCTTTCCCCTCACCTGCACTTGCACCACTGCTTCCTGGGCGTCAGCATCAGCCAGAACGTGGATGAGCGTGCTGTTCAGGATGTTGGAAAAGACTGGGGGAAGAGGGGAAGGAGGGGGAAAAGGGGGAGAAATGGGGGAGGAGGGGGAAAAGGGGGAGAAATGGGGAAGGAGGGGGAAAAGGGGGAGAAATGGGGGAGGAGGGGGAAAAGGGGAAGAAATGGGGGAGGAGGGGGAAAAGGGGGAGAAACGGAACGGGGAACAAGGGTGTTGTGAGGGACAAGCGATCTAGAAGGATCAGAAAACTGCATGCACGACGTAGCCTGTGAGTTCTTTAAAAAGAAGAACCACAACTGAAAGTAATCCACGTTCAAGGAACCAAGGCGGGGCAGAGCCTAGAAAAAGCCAGGAGTAAAGAAGAAGGGGAATGGAGGGTTGACAAAACCACCGATGCATTTTGATCCCACTGCTCCCTGTCCCCTCGCTATACTCACACAGGTGGTACTCCCCGAATCGGGGATTCCTAAGGTGCCGCTTTAAGTGGTTCACATTCTCTCCCGTCGGCCTCAGAAAGCAAACGGCTTTAAGATGTGGCATAGGCTCTGCACCGCTACCCCCTGACTCGCCCCTACCGCCGCCGCTGCTGCTGCCGCCGCTCCCTCCCCCTTTAGAGTCAACCTTCTCTACAAGCACCACGTCTCGGTGGAGAACCTCGGATTGCGTCAGCACGAGGCTCACGATTGGCAGCTGCGAACGGACGGTCAGGATCGCAGGAGAAGGGGGACGGGGATGGTGAAGGGGACCGGGACGGAGAAGAGGGAAGGAGAAGAAAGGGGAAGGGGAGAGAAGCAGTAGGGAAAGGTGTGAAAGAGGTTGTTGTAATCAGGGCTTGCGTCGAAAATGCATGAAACTCTTCCTGACGAACTTGAATAGATTGATAGCAGCCGGACAAACGATGGTGGAGTTGATTCGGTCCTGCTCACCTACCGTTTCCGCGTCGAGAATCAGAACTTTCGGGCCGCTGACGTCGTTAAGCATCTTGTTTACATAATCACGAACCGCGGCTATGAGCACCATCTTGGCTGCAACGAGAATCCAGGCTAATGGCGAAACGTTGTGTACGGATTTACGTATAAATCTATGTGGGATTCGTGTAGGTACGGATGAAATTCCTACGTGAGAGAGTGACCCCTGACTTCAAATCCTGAACCGTCAGAGACGTTGCTTGCATAAATGCGACAACCTCTCCCTAGCGAGCAGTCGATAACCTATGAGCGCAAAGGATGTCGACCATATGGGCTAGAATTCGTCCCGAGATATCGTCGCGAAGAAGTAACAAGTGTCTAAGCGGCAGACAATCCTGGCGATCCAGTACAGTTGTAGTGAGATTCACGTGAAGCAGATATGCCTGGTAGAAGTTAGGACTGATTAGAAAGGAAGTTGAATCTGCCTGCGGTCGATTTTGGTGCGGGAAACTTTAGCAAACTGGGCACTGACGACTTCGTTCTGTAAAATATAGGCCACTCTTAAAGCGAAGATCTCGAAACCCCAGCCAAAATGCCCCGGGATCAAAACCTAAGTTTTTGAGTTCGGGGGTTTTCGAGATCCTCGCTTTAAGGAAAAATGTCTAAATTGACAACACCCACTGTTCCAAAGCAGACTCGAATGTGCACTGGACAGGGATTGGCGAAAACGCGGGAAACGAGTTGGGGAAGTTCATCTGACACCACAAAACCTCTCTATTGGCTGCTTCGACAACAGCCTGCAGTTAGACTTTCCCCGCTGTACGGTTGTTTCACGAACCTGTGTAGGAGAACTCAAATATTGGGTCACATGGATTTTGCCACACACTCGCCGCATCTCACGCCACGCCACCGTAAAAAGTACAGATTACTCGAACTCACCGCTATTCCTGTCGCCTTGCTGGTTCCGCGCGTACGTTCTCATCTCTTCCCTCCGCCAAAGCGTAGCCTCGGTGACTCAGCTGCTCTGCGTCGAGTCGATCAGCAGCTAGTCCCACGCGAACACGCCTAGCACCAAGCGTAGCACCAAGCGTAGCACCAAGCCTGGCACCAAGCCTAGCACCAAGCCTAGCACCAAGCCTAGCACCAAGCGTAGTACCAAGCCTAGCACCAAGCGTAGTCCCAAGCCATCGGTCACGCGCGTTGACCCGGCGTCATGATCCCACCACAGGTCGCCTCACGCGCCGCTAGGCGGGTGGCATCAGCGGCTCGCTGCTGCGCCGCGCGCGCGCAACACCGCTCGCGATCCGGTGGTGATCGCTATCCCAGCGACGCCTATCGCTGCGATCATGCCTACCGCTATCACATCGTCGCCGCAGGACTTTCTTCTGAAGGGACTTCCGTTACTACACCTCGCTTGGCGCGCTTGGCGCCGTCAGCAGCAGATCTGGCGGGCGACACGGTACGGCTGGCTTCCGCAGCCCGCCCGTGCTCGTCCGCGTTACTAGCATCTCCGGTAATCACGGCCGCGATCCTGCCCTCGAGTCGATCGGCCCCGTTCACTCCGTTGACTCAGTTGACTCAGACGCGCGGGTCGCAGTTCGCGTCGGGGATCTCGATGCCGCGTTTGTCCTCGTTAGCTCCATTAACCGAGGCCGCGGTCCTGCCGTTGACTCCGTTGACTCGGTTGACTCAGACGCGCGGGTCGCAGTTTGCGTCGGGGTTCTCCATGCCGCTGCCGAAGCGGCTGGAGGAGATCATGTCAGTGGAGGCGCTGCGAGCTTCAACGCCCGAGGAGATCACTGCCACGTGGAACAATGTAGGCCGTTGATCTGCGTTGAACTCCCTCTTAGATCATGCCGGTGGAGGCGCTGCGAGGAAGCACGCCCAGGCGATTGGGAACTACGTAGAACGAAAAGTGGAACCATGTTTGGCCATTTGAGTCCTGAGGAAGCATTTTCTGCTTGATCACATGCATGTTCTGCTAATACAACAAGCATTTGATGCTGCATCACAACCCCCACTTCCCTCCTATGTGTGCAGCACCACTTGGGTCGGACGCATGTGAGCACGGTGATTCCTGCTGCTGCCTTTGAGACTCTGCAGCACAGAGCGAAAGTGTGGTGAGTGGGACAAAAAAGGGCGTGGGGATGGGTAAAGGGTGGATAGGTGGGTGTGCATCTGATTCCTCCTGCTGCTGCCGCTGCTGCTGCTGCCGCTGAAACATTGCAGCACAGAGCGAAAGTGTGGTGAGTGGGACTATGAAGGGTGAGGCGACGGGGAACGGGTGGATAGGCAGGTGAGCATGGTGGTTCCTGCTGCTGCCTTTGAGACTCTGCAGAACGGAGCAAAAGTGTGGTGAGTGAGACTATGAAGGGGGAAGGGGTGGGGTGGATAGGCGGGTGTGTGCGTGCCTGCACATGCATGTGAGCACGGTGATTCCTTCTGCTGCCTTCGAGACACTGCAGCACAGAACAAAAGTGTGGTGAGTGGGACTGTGATTTAGTTGATTCCCGCATGCATGCCATGGACCCGCATGCCATGGACCCGCATGCCATGGACCCACATGCCATGGACCCGCATGCCATGGACCCGCATGCCATGGACCCGCATGCCATGGACCCGCATGCCATGGACCCGCATGCCATGGACCCGCATGCCATGGACCCGCATGCCATGGACCCGCATGCCATGGACCCACATGCCATGGACCCGCATGCCATGGACCTGCATGCCATGGACCTGCATGCATGTGCCTGCATGCAGTTGTGCGTGGTTCTGAATTGCTCTCATGTCGTCACAAACATTCCTCACGCTATTAACCTCTCCCCCAGTTACCAGTACAATCTTTTTTTCACCATTGATTTTGCATTTGTTCCCACTGTCCCACTGTCCTGTCCTCCCCCAACTCCTCCCCTCGGCCCAATGCCACAGTCCCATGTTTGTGCTTCCAATGGCGAGGACCAACGGGTTTGTCACCATGCTCGCACAAGGTACAAATCCCTTCCTTCCTTTCTATTCCTTGGAGATTCTCTCCCCCCTTACCAAAACATACACCATACACCATATGTACAGAGTGTCTTCCATTCTTGCCAATACGTACACCACATACGCTTTGTCCCTTGGCCTCTTCGCAGGGCTGTTCTTTACTGTCACAAACTTGCTCGAAGTTTGTATGTTTCCCCAAAGTCTCCCTCCTTATAGGAACAGCGTAGGTGTACCACCTCCCCTTCACGCGTCTGGTCTGGAGGACTAAAAAGCACGAGGCCCTTCTGCTGCACCCTTCATTCGTTACACTCACACTCATCACAAGTCCCTTTTCTCCCCTCCCACATTCCCCCCGTTACAAGAACAGCTCAGATGCCCCACCTCCTCTTCACTGGCCTAGAGGACTATAAAGTGCGAGGCCCCTCTGCATCGCCCTTCTTTACAGTCACCCACTACACTGACCTAGCAGCAGAGAAGGGGTTGGTTCTGGTCCGGGGAGATGTGGTTCTGCCAAACAAGCTCAGCGACGATGAGGTGAACATCTACTGGGTGTTGGAAAGTGGAGGCAAGTAGTTGTGTAAGAAATGGAGATAAAATCTTTGGTACGTGTGAATTTTGAAGACCGGTGCATGGAATTTGGATGTGTCCTTTCACCCTTCCTAAATCCGTCTTATTGCTCTCCCCACTCTCTATCCCCCCCCCCCCCCCTCCTCTTCCCCCACCCCCATTGTTACAGGCTAGGACTCTTTTAAAAGATCTGCACTCTTTCTACACCGATGACTCACGCTACCGCCATGTAGAAGCTTTCAATAAGCATCCCACAGAATTTGATTATCGTGCTGTTGTTCGAGCACTAGGAATTGTTGCCACTGGGTGGTAGGTTTGGGGAACCTATATTATAATGCGTAGGTTTGTATGCGATTTTAGGCCCTTAGTTCACGTTTTACACTGCATTGACTTGCCATGCCAAATTGATGCCATCGAATTGAAAAAATTTCTCATGTCCTACATATTGTACAGATGATGTCCACCGTACGCCCACCACTTCGCCGAGTCGCGGGGGCCACTGTCGAATTCGCAATTTCGCATGCTTCTCCACGGGCTAATGGGTCGCACAAAAATGGGCACTTTGTAACAAGATACACCAGGTGTCCAGCAAGTCCCAGAAAATTGACTGTGCCCACCCCCGAACCTGCGTCCATTCGCCACCAATCACGGGCAAAGGCCCTTTCACCTGATGGCCCATTCACCTGAGGTGCCGGTAGCGGTTTCACCTGCTGAGTCGGAGGGCTCAGAGCTTCATGAAGGCATAGAGTTGGTTATTCCGCCGACAACGCCGGCTTTGCAGGCAGATCCGGTTATTCCGCCGTCAGTGCCGGCCTCGGTCCCGGCTTCGGTCACTCCGTGTGGGGTGGATGCTCCACGCAAGGATGCGTCCGCTGGTCAGGATGAAGGGTTGCTGAGCAGGGATCCGGAGGAAGAAGATGGGTACTTTAGCGACGACTTTGATGAGGCTCCGGAGTTGGACATGCTTAATGAGATTGCTGCAATGGCTAAGGCTTCACTCACTTTGCTTGTGCCGTTCAGTCATGTTAAGGAGTTCCCGCGTGCCAAGGAGACGATCAAGTCGCTCATGATGATGCGGAAGAAGGATCTGTCAAGGGATGTTCTGGTGACGACCAAGTTTCAGGAGCTGTTCCCGACGTACCTCTCGTCTCTCCGTTTTGGTCGGCTGCAAGTCACGTTTGATGACCCCGCTGATGCGGAGTATATCAGGAAGTTGCAGGAAATTGATCACACCTGCGTGGACGGGAAATCTCTCAAGGTTGGCTGGCAGTTTCCCGAGTGCAAGGAGTTTCTGCTGGAGCGTTCCAGGAACAAGTCAGCGATTGAGGTTCTGTTCAAGAGTGTACCGGCGTCCATCACGCCGGAGATGCTGCGTGCGGTCCTGATCAAGGTGAAGCTGCGCAAGAGGAAGTAGACAGCGTACATGGACGGCCTGGCTTTTCATCGAGTGGTGGATCCGCTGAAGGGTTTTGACACGGATAAGGTCAAGGGGCTTGTGCTGCAGCATCCAGAGGACCAGCACAAGTGGATCCCAGTCATTGCGGACCCGCTTGGCAGCGGACGGAAGCTGAAAGTGCACTACCTGGCTCTCACCTGTCTACTCTGTGGGGGAGCGCATGAGGAGTTGTATCATGATATCTACGTGGTGGAACGGCAGAATGTGATCAGCAAGTGGAACCTGACCTTGGGGAAGGTTCATGAGATCAATGGTAACAGTTCAGACCGCTTGGTCACCTTACCTCCCGCCTTTTTATCCTTTGTTTTCTACCTACCCGAGCTCCTTGACGTCACCGTCGTGGCTATTGTTCTGCTTAGCTGTGGTGCTGCTGATCTTGGTCCTCTGCTCCCTCTCCTCAGCTGCCTCCTTAAAGCTGACAGGTCCAGTGAAGCAGATTCTGCAGGACCCGGCAATAGTTCTTACGTCAACAGACCCCAGCCGCGAGGACTGGATCTGCGTGCAAGGTTGCTGCGAGAAGGCTCAGGGCAACTCCTTCGAAGCAGCGGAGGTTCACATCGTCTCATCCCGCCTTCGCAGCGGGCTGCTCAAGCCTGGTACCGGCGTCCCGCGTGAGCAAGGCATCTGCTGTGCTTTCGAGTCTCAAGAAGGAAGGGAGAAAGTGAACTGGCAAGGGTGGATGCGATGCATGGCGCTGTATGGCTTTGGATGTGGGGGTAGGACAGTTTTGTTGGTGGTCCGTAATATCGCTGTACCTGTTCCTATACGAAGTGGTGTTGTCAGCAGCATGTCTGGTGTTGCATTTGGCCTGTGGATGAACAGGGGCCATCTGCTGGTCACGAAAGGAGTACAAAAGGCGGCATAAGCATCTGCGGGCTCAATGTTAATGGGTTTGGCAGCAGAGGGAAACAAGAGAAGTGCAGCAAGTGGATTAGGAGGATTGTGGACGTGGTGGTGCTCACGTACACTAGGATTCGTAGTGATCACAACTTCTGGACACAGAACAAGCCGGTGGCGGTGGCGGCCATTGGTCTGGAGAAAAAGTGGGGGGGGTAGCGTTACTTAGCTTAGTAGTGGAGTTAGGTTCACGGATGTGGTGGCGCATCCCTCAGGACGTTTGCTGCAGGCCAGGATAGACAGTGTAGGCTTCATAGCTGTGCTGGTGGCGGTGTTTTTACCTGCTCAAGCATGCAACAGGGGGAGCTTTTCAGAGAGGTGTTAGGGCAGTATATGGGGGCAGTTTATCCCGGTAGCGGATAACGTGGTGATGGTGGGGGATTTTTATGTGGTGGCGGACCCGGCGCTGGACAAGTCATCAGGCATGGGCTCCTCGGGGGAGAATGAGCAGATGCTGCAGGCCTGTGGAGGGAGGGGCTGGGGGGACGCTTTTCGGCTTCTTCACCCGTGCAGGAGAGAGTATACGTTCTTCTCCAGGTTGGCAGCTTCCAGCACGCGTATTGATCGGGCACTGGTCTCCGGGTCCTTGCTGGGTCACCTGCAGGGAGCGCGGCACGTGGCGGTCCTGTACGGCGTGTCGGATCACTGGTTTGCGATCCGCTGCGTCTTGCGGGACAGGAAGATGGAAGGTAGGGGACTGGGGATTTGGAGTCTCCCGGGGAAGCACGCGAGGAAGCAGGGGGTAAGGGCGATAGTCAAAAAGGTGTTGGAGCTGTGTGCGGAGAGTGGGGAAGAGGGGTTTGACAGGGTAACTCAGAGGCTGGCAGTTGGGCTCAAGGCGTATTCGGTTGAGGAACGGAAGCGGGCAGTGGCGACGGAGGTACACTTGGAGTAGAAGATGGCAGAGCTGCGGCAGCAAGTTCTGTCGGTTCCCAGCTGTCTGTAAAAGAGAACGGAACTGATGGCGGCAGAGTCGTTGCTGGGGGCATATCAGGACAGCAAGTGGGACAGGTTGCAGATGATGGCGAGTGTCAGGGCGGAACTGCACGGCGAGTCGCCCTCGGCGTACTTGTCCGCGAAGGTCCAGAGCAGGAAGGCGAAGACATCGATGGACAGGGTGGTGCACAACGGGAAGGTGCATACAGGGCTGGCGGAGGTGGTCTCGGCTGCCTCGGATTACTTCGCGAAAGTGTTTGGGATGGCGCCTGTGGAATCGGTATTGGAAGGGTGGGCGACAGATTTAGATAAGCGGTTAGGGAAGGCGGATCCGGAAGCACTGGTATCGGAGTGGAAGGAGGCGGAGCTAAAGAGGGCCATCAAGGAGTTGGCGGCGGGGAAGTCACTGGGGCAGGATGGCTTGCCCAAGGAGCTGTTTGAAGAACAGTGGGACCTGCTGGGGGGGCATATGTTGAGGTTCGTGAAGGACTTTGAGGCTACTGCGCAGTTGTCGTCGGCGGTGAAGATGGCCATGACAATTCTCTTGCACAAGAAAGGGGCGACAGACAATCTGCAGAATTACCGGCCGATATCGCTGCTGAGCACGACATACAAGGTGGTGGCGAAGGTCCTAGCAAATAGGATGAAGCCGGGTCCTACACAAAGTCATCTCTGAAGGGCAGCATGGCTTCATACCTGGGCGGAGGCTGGCGGATGCGGTTGCGGTGGTCGCGGATGTCATTAATGCGGCGAAGGCAGGGAAGGAGGACTGGCTGCTCCTGTTGGTGGACTTTCAAAAAGCGTACGACTCGGTCAAGCGGGGGTATCTCTTCACTACCATGCGGATGATGGGGTTCCAGGATTGGTTTGTCATGTGGGCTGAAGGTCTGCTCTCAGGAGCGGCCAGGAGAATCAGCCTGGATGGGAGAATGGGGGAACTGGTGGACATGCGGAAGGGGGTGAGGCAAGGGTGCCCCTTGACTCACTACCTGTTCCTCTGTGCGATGTCGCCTCTGTGTCAAGAGGTCGTAAGGCGGAAGCTAGACTTAAGCAAGAGAGGTATACACTGACGGAAACAACTGTCCGGATGTTTTGCATTAACGAGGGTTTTTTGGCATTTCGACCAGTGTACATAAAGTCTTAATCTTTAATTGTGGTACGCTTTGGGAGTGGCACATAGTGGATGTGTTCATAGTGCTATAATCCATAATAGTACACTGGATCTAACTTAGTGTCAAAAGATATCCAAAGAGTCCATCCGGACAATTGTTTCCCAGGACAAAGCGCAAACTTCCGAACAACGTTTCTAGTACTTATTCCACCGACCCTTGGCCTTGATCACCAGACGCACCCTCCTAGGCATGTTATCTACGAGGTTAGTGCAAACTATTGCAGGGATCTTCTCACACTCTTCTTGGACCCACCCTTTTGCATTAAGGGGTGAGCACTGGGAAAAGCGCGAAGGATTTGAGCGTATGCAAGAGTATTGTGCACGATTTCTAATTGAATGTGATCTCTTAGACTAGCCACGCTGAGGTGTGTCTTTTCATGAAAAGACGTGACCATTAGCCGTTTGGTCCTGTCTGTTCATGGGTCGTCTTCGTCGTACATTTGTAGGGTAAAATTACGAACAGAGTGGCAAAAACTAGCGCATCCGTCGCGAAACTTAGGGTAACATAGCACGGTTGACTGTGCACCCTTTCACAATTAGAATCACGTTAAAATCCACAGGTCTCGTCTCGGTGCAGTAGTCGAAGAAGCCCCGGCTGGTGGGGAAGAATATCCGGGTTGAGGTCTGGTGAGGAAGAGGGTCACTCCAGTGCTACATACTCATGCTCTCCAAGCCATTCCAAGCCTAGGCGGGTTAAATGGTATGGAATGGCTTGGAGAGCCTGAGTATGTTGCGCTGGAGAGACCCTTTTCCTCACCATACCTCACTTTAAGCATTCATCTCGAACAGTCGTGACTTCTTCGACTGCTGCACCGTGACGAGACTTGCGGATCCTAGCGTGATTCTAATAGTGCAAGGGTGTACAATCGACCGTGCTACGTCACCCTCAGTTTCACGGCGTATACGCTAGTTTTCCCCGCACTGTTCGTGGTTTTACCCTACAGCGGTACGATGGAGA